GTGTGCGTTAACATTCTTGTCCTGTACATTTGTATATCGTGTCCATAGATATGTAAAAGTGATGTCGGTACCTGTAGGTTTCTTTTCTCATTAAGAATTCTTATTAACCGCCTGTTCACTGTCACCATACTTCTCCATGCCAAGAGAAGAGACTACGTACTATTACCTTACTAACACCTACCGATAAGCCCACGTTGTGGGGCTAGGCAGTAATGAAGAAGAAGTAATCCCTGTTTTTGCCGGAACAGGTGCAGCAGGAGCTTGATGCCGTTGTTGGTGAGGGTCTGCCCGCCCTGTCCCACCGTTCCCAGCCGCCCTACGTGAACGCCTGTCTGCTGGAGGTCATGGATCATTGCACCTCTCTCGGTTCCCCACTCAAACATGTTATTAATTAACAGGTGCAGCAGGAGCTTGATGCCATTGTTGGTGAGGGTCTGCCCACCCTGTCCCACCGTTCCCAGCTGCCCTACGTGAACGCCTGTCTACTGGAGGTTATGAGGATCCGACCGCTTCTGCCCGTCGCCCTTCCACACGCCACCACACAGGACGTTAAAGTGTGTGGTTATAACATTCCCAAAGACACGCAGGTACGCTACAGGTTTGCTACATGCTGAGGAAATTTGCTACATCCCATAGACTAAGGTTACATCTATCTGTCTGTCTGTCTGCAATGTTGCAAAAATTGGGGTTTGTTCGGTACGTCAGTTAGGCGCTGATTGGCTAGAAGCTATGTCGGATAAAATGTAGCAATGAGGCTCGTGAACATTGCCAACTGCGATGTGGTGAATCCGTTTCTATCGAGTAACAGTTAAAAACTAGAAGACGATCTAAAAATAGACGTCTCTTTGACCTAACTTCTGTCGGGTTATTCTAGGTGCTTGTGAACCTGCACTCCATCCATAAAGACCCCGCCTACTGGCCTGATCCGGACGGGTTCGACCCCGGAAGGTTTCTGGACGCGGAAGGGAACGTCATCAACAAGCCTGAGTCTTTCCTGCCGTTTTCAGCTGGTGAGGGAAGATACTAGCCTCTACCAGGCTTCGGAAGGCGGCTGGAAAGAGTAGAAATCGGTAACATAGAGAGATAACATGCCAGGGGAGTTAGTTGGTCTGCCTGAGAAAACAGTTTGCCACTCGGGTGAGGCAAAATGTACTCTCTAGCGGACCAACTCCCCTGGCATGTTATCTCTATTTGACCGCGATCTCTACTCTTTCCAGGCGCCTCCCGAAGCCTGGTAGAGGCTAGAAACCTAGCTGTCTTCTGGACTGATGAATTTGTTTCCAAAGATGTGTTGATCTTTGTGGATGATGGAATCACCACGTAGAAAGAGTTTGAGTCCGTCGATGAAGTTTAGACCATCCATGTAGAACATTACGTAATACAAAATTAATCAACCAACTGTATAGATTCTCTGAAGAGTCATACTTTTCATATGGCATCTGCTGTCTTTCAACAGTAACTGAGAATGAGCTTGAAGGTATCTGTATGAACTGTTAGTATCTAAGTTTATACTTACCTCTATTCCATTTGTAGTTTCCCAGCCCTCAAGTAATGATTGTATAGATAATGTTTAACCTTAGCTTCTTCGGATAGTAATTCACTTTTCGTTCACGGTAGCAAAAGTTCAAGGTCTGAGAAAAATGGACATGTTCACGGAACTATATATTCATGGTGGCGACAGGTGCAGGAAAAAGAAAGTCCAGGAATTATTTGTTAACTGTAATGAAGGTAGAGAAGTGATAGTGAAAACAGTGAACATTACAGTACGGTGAAAAAAACAGGAATTGCAGTATCACTAGCTGTACACTAGTCATGGTGCACTTGTAACATGGGCTTCTAAACATTCCTCACGTATATTGCATGTTGATTCGGTGAATATTTACTTCCCAGGCCGACGCGTGTGTCCCGGAGAGCAGCTGCCTTCGTGTTACTGATTTTATGTAGATAGTTAACCTTCTTCGGTGGATATCTCCAGCTGTACACTAGTCATTGTGCACTTAACATGGCGTTTAAACATTCTTCACGTATATTGCATGTTGATTCGGTGAATCTTTTCCTCCCAGGGCGACGCGTGTGTCCCGGAGAGCAGCTGGCCGGCATGGAGCTTTTCCTGTTCTTCTCGACCCTGCTGCAGTCCTTCACCTTTTCGCCGCCAGAGGGCGCTCCTGCTCCACTCTCTGACGGCGTTTTTGGCCTGACGCTGACCTCACCTCCGTTTGAGCTCTGTGCGATCCCGCGTTAGTTCATCCGCTAAATATCTGTATCTAGTCTCTACCAGGCTTCAGGAGCGGTTGGAAAGAGTAGAAATTGGCTAACAGACAGAGAACATGCCAGAAGAGTTGATCTAATATCTGTATCTAGCCTCTACCAGGCTTCATAAGATTGGAAAGAGTAGAAATAGGCTAAACAGACAGAGAAACATGCCAGAAGAGTTGATCTAATATCTGTATCTAGTCTCTTCCATGCTTCAGAAGCGGCTGGACAGAGTAGAATATAGAAGTTGGCTAAATAGACAGATCACATGCCAGGGGACTTTTTACACTCTGGAGAGGCAAATGTAATGTTGTGGCCTGGGTTCCATCCTGGTTAGTTTACGTCCGCTCCCAGAGTTGCTACCACTAGTAATGTTGCTCCTTTAGCAGACCAACTCCCCAGGCATGTTATCTTTGGCCGATTTCTACTCCACTCAAAATGTAACGTTAATTAGCATTGAAATAAATGAAAGGAAATATGAATAAGTGTTCGGACAAAATGCATCGTCGGGAATCTAACTTAGGGGAGGTTTTAACGATGAAGTCACCATATAACATACATGTAACGTTATGTGAATGTGTTTAACAGGGCAGACCATATCCGAAGGTAAACATTGTGCACTTTTCTAGCATTATTGCAATTTTTATCTATTGTAGGGTGTAGTTAATCTGTTTCATAATCGGCAGTTTTAGCTCAATAGTATCATATTTCAGTTGTACATTGGTTTTTGTAGCGTTATTATCAAATCAACATGGCCTTAAGTTACCGACAGCTGTGAGCCAAGCCATCCTGACAGAGGAGTGATTATGTACCTTTAATACCTGACTGACTTGGCAGACTAAACACAATGCAGTGTTTATGAAGGCTTTATCCTTGAAAATGTATATTATATTATGTTTGGAGCAAGCTGTAACAGAATAGAATACAACACGACCGCGGGTCGGATCGCCCGACGGCCGCAGACTCGCGGGAGGGCCGGGACCGAGGGAGATGCGGAATACACAGCGTTGTATTTTATTTATGTCATACCCACCCAAGAACACACGCCTTTCAATGCAAGATGAGCTAAAAGTTGGTGCCACTGAACCCTAAAATGCAACAACATCAATTCCTACGTCGGGATTCTGTATTCGAATTTTCGAACGGGGCACACGCGGTTATGGCGAAACGCGTTCGAATCGTTTTATGGAAGCCATGGAAGCGTTCGATAACGGGTTCCAGACCGGGCCGTACCGTAAAGTACGGCCCGGTCCGGAACCCGTTATCGAACGCTTCCATGGCTCGGGTATGATATAAATGTGTGTATGTAGTCGCATGGTTCCAGTATGCAAATTACAAAGCTGGTTGGCCAGCAAAGATGTAAAGGGGTTTTTCTGCAGTTTACAAGGTATCTCAGCACAAAGTGTTTGGTTTACGTAAGTTAGGCCACACCAATTTAATTTGTTGGTTCTCGGATTCGCCTCTTCGTTTTTTTCTGATTTGCAAAAAAAAAATTTACTGGTCCTGAATCAACTGAAAAATGCTCATGTTTTGCCCCCAACAGTTGAGGAAAGTCCTTTTCTTCCTAGTTGTTACAGTTTTCCCATCTATCATTGCAGTGGTTTGATTAAAAGTTCAAAATTCAATGTTTAAATTTTAACCCAGCCTTTTGTGTTGACTTCATGGCTCATTTTGTAGCATTTAAGCCTATAATACATTTGTAGGATGCCTAGACCTGTTTTTTTTTCGTTTTTTTCGTCCCTGTTCGCTTCATATTTTTTCTGAAAAAAATTCCGAGAACCAACAAATTAAATTGGTGTGGCCTTAGTTTGGTATTTTTGCCAGTTGCTGTAATTACAAATTTTAAACTAGTTGACTGACGTCAGCATCTTGT